ATTCTTGTAATGATTGTGTGATTTCATCACTATCAAATCGTGTTTCTTCACCTTCTGCCCAAAAAGAATTAAATTGTGATTCATCAATAATATCAGGTTCGGCATCTGATAGCTCGTCTTGGGATAGAAATGTTTTATTGGGAATTTCCATTTTCTTCCAACGTTTTCTAATAGCATCCCGAGATTGTTTGGTACGTTTATTTGGTTTTGGCATTAAAATTCTATTAAGGTAAAGGAACAGAAAATCACATTTGAAATTATCGTAAAATTTGCAAAATAGCGCGAAATGACACGATTTTAACAATTATCACATGATTTAAAACTGATCACGTGATTTAGAAATTATCACGTGTTATGATTTTGACCAATAAAATCACGAATTTAATATGGAAATGATCAGCAAAATTTTCAGCGGTGGCTTAGCCATTTGATGCAACTAAGCCGTTTGCATCATATAAAAATTGTAAAAAGTTTGAGAAAGCAAAGAAATAAATTGATGCTGGAACTCACATTAAATGGCCTAAGATCTGTGTACTCCCTTCCTCTTTAATAGCATCATACATTTCATTTACTTATCTAGCATTTTCCTTATTAATGTATCGTTAAAAATGATAATATAATTGTTGATCGTCTGACTGATTTGTATTACAATAAATTTCTTATATATACTCCACCTTTTTTTTCCTTTTCTTCTAAAACTGTATGACTATTGATCACTTTGTCCTACTATATTAAATCGAAAATGTCTGCGAGTAGTGCTGATCCTTCGGTAGAGGACATTGAAAAATTTAATATGGAATAACTTATCTATTATTTATGAATAAAGGACTTGAACCTTAACAATAATGACTATAAAAAAATTTGTAATGAGAGAGTCGCAATTTAGACTTCCTCTAATTAACTAAAAAAATACTTCATTCTGAACCTTATAGATTTTTTGATGGACCAGCAAGAAAGGTCGAAATGTTAGTTAATTCGTTAAATAACCAAAGTAAGTTCTATCATAAGGTAGTTTAACGTTTGTACACCTCGTGTGTTATTCAACAGACGTTTTTCGTTGCAGTATTTTTGTAGTATTTACTTAACACAATTTTTTTTAGAGCTTCTAAATCCAGAAGAATATTTATCATGTATTCCGCCAGCAGTTATTTATCCAGAGAATGCTAGTCAATCGAGACGTTCAACAAATATTGGTGGTCTTTAGCCAACAAAGATAATTCATTAGGATGGATTTTTTGATAAAGTAACTCGTTTCAGCTTTGATCAAACGCTAAAATTCACGAGGCCAATATTTATTAATCGTTTAAGGACTCTTGTTGAAACTAATGTTAAAAGTCTTCTAGATGTTAATATTTTTTCTGTATTGAACGTAATGTTTTTACCAATCTATGAGTTCTCAAAACAAAAGGATTCTAATTTTAATAACGATAATCCAAACCTTGGTCTCAGAAAATCAGATTTTACTTGTTGAAGATTTTCTAATATTAATGATCATAAAGGAAAAAGGATCATTGAAGTCGAAGTTAAAAGGGATTGTGTTATAAAAAAGTTGTATGAAGATGAATTTGATGAATTATTTAGATATGAAAATGAACATTTTATTGGTCATGCAAGTGGCAATTTAAAAATTGCATTTCGTCAGCTTTACAACTATATGATTGCAGATGGATTGCAATATGGTATATTAATAAGTTACAAACAATTGGTTTTTCAAACGCCTAAGCAATAATCTATTAGTATTAAAAATCTCAGAATCTCTTTCGATAGGATCAACAACTCTGCCTGTGCTCAAAACTTATGTATGCTTATTAAATAACCTGACAAGTGTTGATTCTGAATCCTCTCATTCTAATGTAATTCCAGAACGAACCAGACAAGATACCAAAAACCAAAATTTAGGTTCCAATAATCAAAGTTCTAATCAAAGTCAAAATTCAGGTTCAGGTAGGGGTTTCAGAGGTTTCAGAAGTTCCAGCAATCAAAATCCTAGGATGGAAACGCAAGAACTGACTTATAGCTATACAGACTTTAAGCTTAAAGGTGAAGAAACACAATTTGATAGTGATGAAATCACACAATCATTACAAGAATTGCAACCAAATATGCTAAAACAATTGGTTGAGAATGCAA